ATATTGTAATCTGCATCCAGTTCTATAATCCCCGAATGTCCGGATGGTGCATACCAAGAAGATTCCTCTCTGATGCGGATCAAAACGGTTTGTGCACAAAGGGCTTGGACTCCCCCTCACTACTCCCAAGAAAATCAAGAACCATTTCTACAAGTTTCAACAGCCCCCGACAGCAAGTGGCTAGGGATCCAGAAGTTTAAATGATTCATAAATGCTTCCTCACACACTCTGAACATGAAACTTGATATGACCCAAGGATAAGGTAAATGTTGTCAATTTTCCAGCAATGCATTAGCTGCTTAAGATCATGTAGAAGACAAGGATTCTGCAATTCTCATTGGATTACATGGTTTCTTCATTAGTGTAGAGAAATGTGTATTCTTAAAAAATTGGTAGGATTAGGCACATTTAAAATGGAAAGACGCTATACCATACAGGTGTTTCTCACTTTATGATGGTTTAACTTCATGCATTTTTAAAATTTATCATGATGTGAAAGTATGCCCATGAAAACATTGCATTCTACTTTTGGTAGAGAATTCAGTAAGTTATGCAAGAAATCCAACACTTTGTTATTAAGCAGGCTTTGGGTTTTTCATAGTTTTGTCTGTCCCACTGCAGGCTGTTGTAAGTACACTGAGCATGTTTAAGGGAGACAAGACTGAGCTACAATGTTTCGGTAGGTTTGAACTTTGGATATTTTCCACATAATAAAGGGCTAACTGGGTTATAACCCTAGTGTGAGTTGTGGTGCATCTGTATTTCACACTGCCAAAGGTGTATCTTCCTTTGCATTCAATACTACATTAAATTTATTTTATGGCTGTTTGCATAAAGGGACGGATAGTAACTGTATAATGGAGACTGTCATATTCAGATGTGAAGACGCAATGCAGTATGCACCTCTACTTCCAAGTCAAAGATGGATTCCCAATAAAACTGTTAAATATATCTTGACAATAGGATGCTGGGCTCTCTGCCATTGTCCATGCCTACAATGTCAGGATACACTTAAATGGTGGGATGAATGATGGGCTTAACAACTGTTCCTGAAGGACTATGCACTGATATAACAGGGGAAGTTGGTGGGGGTCAGGGGACTTGGCTTGTGGAGCGGGAGGGAGGAATCCCAGAGTCTATGGAACTGAATCATAAAATAATAATAAGATTAAAAAAAAAAGAAGTCAAAACTTGTACTGAAAAAATTTCAAAATGTTGTTGCGGAAATGAAAGAACATCAAAATAACAACAACCACAAAACACGCTACATCAAGCACCATATTCCTATCTGCTTTATTCAGGAGCAAAGGAGATCAGAGAGATTGTGTGAGAGGGTGGAGGACACACAGCACATGACTGAGTGGGGTTGAGAGAAGGCCACACCCATTCCTGTTTTTTCCCCTTTGTTGATACTACTTTCAAGGCTTTATGTTGCAAATCTCTATTTTCTTTCAAACACATACACATATGAAGGATATAAGCCTTCAGCACAAGATTATGCTGCATCTATTCTATTTCTCTTTCATTTTGTTATGGATTCACACCAAGTCAATATTGTTACTGAATCTGTTTACTTGCAGATGTTCCCAGACCCCTGAGGAACAAGGGCTTGGACAATCGGGATAGTCTATATTCTGATCATTGGCACTCCTGATGTCTTGGGAGGAAAGTTTCAGTTTAGACATCAGAGAAATCTATCTGATTTAGGAGTAGGGATTAAAACATATGCGCAGGGTTCTCACTGTTTAGAAATTCAGATATTAGGTTCAGTTCTGTGAAGAGTATCCACACTGACTGACACCAGAATATACATTACTCCTAGCAACATTACAAGTGGTTCTTAAATACAGGGCGAAGAGTTTACTGTGGCTTGCAGGCTATACATGGAGTGTCTGAATGTCCCTGTACCTCCTCCCCCAAATTGCTAGGTTAAAGCCCAATTCCGCCCACCCCTGTACTGCACCCACCAATGGTACTGGGAGGCGAGGTCTCTGGGTTGTGATGAGATGGGAGAATACATGTGGGGTCAAAGAGTACAAGAAGCTCCAGAGGGCCTCCTTGTCTCTCCCATCACAGGTCACTGTGGTGGAAAGATGGTTGCTCTAGAATCAGGGAGAGGGCCTAGAGCAGACACCGAGTCCGCTGAGGCCTGGATCTCAGACCCCCCACAGCCTTCAGATCCGCGAGAAATAACTTTCTGTGGTTTATAAGCCACTCTAGTCTATTTGTTGTGGCAGCCCAATAGATTAAGATCTGAAGTGGTAAGACTGATTCACCCCACAACAGCTGGTGGATGAGTACTGTGTCACAAACAAATTTTGCATCTATCACTTCATTTCATCCTTGCACAGCCTTCCTGAGTTCTCTATCCCATTAACTCGTGATGAGGCCGGGATGCGAGAAAGGCCTCGTGGGAATCAAACACACTGGTGACAAAGCTGAGGCCTGCAGACACACGCGTCTTATTCCAACAGCCCCCAGGATATCCCACTGAGAGCCAGGCAACTGAAGATCTCATCACTCCCATCATTTTCTTCAAAACTGACCTCTTAAGTTCCTACTCATAGTATGAGAGGGTGAAATTATTTCAAAATTAAACATGACATAAGTTAATTTATTAGTCATAGTCTCAAGGGGAAAAAAAAACGGAAGCCCTAGGGAACAAGAAGTGGCTTCAATGACACGGGGGGGGGGGCGGGGGGGATGAAGGTGAGTTATAGGGGAGATAAGAGAGACAAAACTTCGCGTTCTGATGACTAATGAGGAGGATACAAGGTAGTGATTTGAAAGTGGATACAAAAATTGGTTGATTCTTACATACTGTCAGCAAATACTGATTTCTCTCTCTCCTGTGTGCTAACTGCTGTGCTGAGTACTGGCAATGAGGGGTGACTCAAGCAAGGGACCCTGGAAAGGGAGCTGTGGAGATCTTAAAAAAGCAATTAACACCCTATGCTGAGAGGTGCCCTGCAGGTGACCAGACATTACCGTCCAGGCCCTGGAGACGGATGCCCTGGGAAGACTGGGGGGACACCTCCCAGAAGAAGTGATATTTGTGCTGTGATTTCTAAGGAGGGGGAAGGTGGGGACTCTCTAACAGGGAAAAAGGGAAAGACTGTCCAGGCAATGTATTTCCAATAGCATGCAGGTCAGAGAGATCACGGCATGTCCTGGAATGGAAGATGGCTCCGTGCCTTACAGCACAGGATGCAGAGTGGTGCGTGTGGTGGCAGCAGGGAGAAGGAGCTGCAGAGCAGGGTAGGGGCCAGGATTCTGGGTCAGCCAGGAAGTATGGTCTCCACCCTGTTCCTGTGGAGAACCAGAGGCTCTTGGATAAGGGAGTGATGAGGTCTGTGGTGAGATCACTTGGGTGGCGTTGCGGGAGACAGAGTGGAGAAAACAGGAAGGTGGCAGATGCTGTGAGGGACCCCTGCATTCAAGGGCCCTTGAGGACCCTCTAGTCCAGCTCTCAATACCACAAGTGATGAACAGACGTCTAGAACGTTAACAGGACTTGAACACAGCCAATGAATAACAGAACTGGGACCTGAATGATCTGTTGGCTGCTATAGGGTCCCTTCCAGAGACCCCCAAAGAAAAGAAAAGGTCTAAAGTCTGGGATTTCCTACTAGTGGTATCATACCTACAGCTAATACTATTTCAACAAGTTCACAGAAACATGGAACTGATCAAGTTTGGTAAAAAAAAAAAAAAGTTACTGAGATATATACACATGTAGGGTCTTCAAGTTTAAGCAAAATGTGTACTGTAAAAACTATGCATAGATTTCAATTTTTTGTATCAAGATGAGATTATCTTTATATTCTATTTTTTTAAAAAAAAGATTTATTTACCTGAGAAGACTGAGGGAGAGGGAAAGAGAGCAGAGAAGGGTAGGAGAGTTAGTTCACACGGCAGCTTAATCCTCTGTGCCACCTTTCTGTTCCAAGAACTTTCTCATAATAACTTGAAGATGACAGCATAAAATTTAGACAGTACCAGTCGATAAAAGGCTGCAGCACCATTCAGTCATCGGCTCCAGATTCCTGCTACTGTATACACCAGATGACTAACGGAAGTGGCAGAGTGTAATGGAATCGAACCTACACAAAGGAATCGAACCAACCCAAACACAAAGGAGCTGAGGGAAGAGCAGCCAGAGCTATCACCCCCCGGCCATTCACACACTCTGAAACGCAGAGACATGAACAAAGTCCTCTCTGAGCTGCCTGGACCAGGTCCTTCCTACGAACACATGGCCACTACATTGACTGTTGTCTAAAAACAAGCCGAGCTGGGTAAGAAAACATTCATCCACAGAGCTGCCATTCATGGCATCAGTACCTGGAGATGTTTGACCCAGCATAACCCAGGATGACTACCCTGGGTTTGAGGCCAGAAAGGGAGTCCATCCTGTTGCTTAGAACACACATCTTTTTTGTTTTGAGTAAGGCAAAGCCATCACAGAGTCCTTTCAGCATTTCATCCTAAAGCCAGGGATCTACAGAGAACTGACTCAGCGTGGGTACAAACTGTGATGCCTGCAGCATCCCCAAAGGGCCAAGATGTTCAATGCCAACAAGTTGGGGTGCGAGTGGGGAGCAGACAGCAGTCATGTGGGTACCAGCTCCTCTCCATGTGACCCATGTGAAGGTCAAATGGGATCACAGCAGGCCAATGACGAATGCTCCTGTGTTCTTCCAAATTCCATTTCACACTGTACATGCTGACCCATGAAAGGAAACAGAACACACAGATGGGATACCCTCTTTTAAGAAATGCATGGAGGTAGTGTGTGTCACACACGTGGAATGCAGGGTGTGAGTCCCAGGAGCTGCAGGTGTGTGCAGAGGGCTGCAGAGGGGTGGAGCGGGGATTGTTAGGCCCATGTGTCCTGAATGCTGGGGGTCTGAGCTCCTGTCCACAGCCACGAACTCCTCCCCAGCAGCTCCAATGGCATCCCTGTGCACCGTCCTCTGCTGAAGCTACACGGCTCTTACCAGATACTGAAGTCGCTGGCGCTCAGTCTCAGGGGTGAATTCCGAAGACATGGGAATGATTTCTCCGTTTCTAATGATTATGGCCCTGCAAGGGGGAAAAACATAGGGTCAGCAGCCAGCCGCATCAACCCGCTCATTCTGGGGCGGTCAAAGCTCAGATGAGACCACGCGCGAGAAATGCTGGCAGATGCTTTTGCCTCCAGCCTGCAAGGCTGTGTTCCCTGTGACTCCACATCCCTACCACACTGGAGGTGTCTCTATTTTAAGTGCACTGCACTCTAGGTAACTTATCGTAGTAAGCACTTTTTTTTTTTTTTGTAATTGACAGAAAGGGAGAGACAAGAGACATTTCCCATTTGTTGGTTCACTCCCTAGAGGCCTGCAACAAGGCTGGGATGGGGCTGAAGCCAGGAGCTAGGAACTCAAATGAAGTCTCCCGCACACATCAGGAACCCAATTACTTGAGCTACCACTCTGCCACCTAGGGTACAATTGGCAGGAAGTTGCAATCAGTAGCCAGAGTCAGGACTCGAATCCAGGTATTCCAGGATTGGACATGGGCATCTTCACCATCGAACAAACACATCACTGCTCTCATATTAAATTTTTTTAAAGCATGTGCTTGGGGCCTGGAGCAGTAGTAGCTTAGTGGCTAAAGTCCTCACCTTCCACATGCCGGGATCCCATATGGGTGCTGGTTCGTGTCCTGGTGGCCCCACTTCCCATCCAGCTCCCTGCTTGTGGCCTGGGAAGGCAGTCAAGGATAGCCCAAAGCCTTGGAACCTTGTACCCATGTGGGAGACCCTGAAGAGGCTCCTGCAACCTGGTTTTGGATCAGAGCAGCTCGGGCTGTTGTGGCTACTTAGGGAGTCAGTCAATAATCAGAAGATCTTCCCCTCTGTCTCTCCTCTGTATATCTGACTTTCCAATTAAAAAAATTAAAAATAAACCTTAAAAAAGGACATGTGCCTTAATACTTCAGCACCAAGCATACTACTGGGCGCTCAAGTTTCAATGAATAAATGTAAAATAAAAGAACGATGAAGCAGAGGTAATGCCAGTCATGGGTGATGCAGGGCAACCTGATGTCATCTTGGTGTTGTTTTGACCTGCGCATCCAATATGGCGGCCACCAGCCACATGTGGGTGCTGTGAAGTCAAATTGTGCCTAGCGCCACAGGAAACTGCATTTGTGATTTAAGTGAGTTTACGTCGAAACAGTCACACATGGCTGTCATTTAATGCATTCGACAGTACAGCTCAGGATCCTTGTTACTCAGAGAGTCTTGGAGCAGCAGCAGGGCCCCTCCTAGGAGCTTGGTAGACACGCAGACTCTCACACAGGTTCCACAGCTGCGTCAGAATCTGCCTTGTATAAGATCCTCAGGTAATTTGTACGCACATAATAAAGTGCAAATGTTAGGCCTAGACCCTGACTTTTCTGAGGTCTTACCGCAGGTCCAGAAAAGCCAGTGTCATCTGTTTGGAAGGCCCAGGAAATTCACACTCCCAAGCCTGTGCTGACTCGAGGTTTTTCTGGGCAAATGGAGTTCCCCAAAGCAGATGGTCTAAGGCCACAGGGCTCGATAACTGCAGAGCAGCCATGCCTGGGCCTGTTGCCAGCAGAGCCTCGTGTTCCCAGACCTCTTGTTTCCAAAGTGGTTCCTGACAGGCACTTTCCAGCTATCGATCGGCTGGAGCTGAGTGCTGCCCTTCCTATGGTAACTGGAAGCAGCTCAGGGGACTGCTTGCTCCCTGTCCTGAGCCAAGGAGACTGGAGATCCAACACGCTTTTCAGCCTACACCCAGACTTGGGAAATGCTTTCAGTGAGATCAGTTATGGGAAAAGGCGTGGGTGATTCTAGGGAGCCTGGTTCTTTGAGCTATAAAGCTGCCTAGGAACCTGTCCCCACCTCCCATCTACAAAGTCAGCCCCTGACATGCGAAGAATCCCTCGAAAGAGTTAGAGTGGTCACAACCCCAGCCAGACCCCTGTACCACCTGTGCTCCAATTGCTATTATACAAAGCATTGGCGGGGTAAGAAAGGAGGACAAAAATTGTGGTGGCTTTAAAGGATGTCTGAATCCGGTCACTGGGAGAGAACGTAGAATGAGAGAATCTGAGCAGACAAACCCTCTTGCAGTCATTTTCCTTTTCACTTCCTTCATCAGGCCATCTGAAATATGAAACTTGAACTACCACTGCCTATAGTGTTGAGCATTTGGCTTAGAAGTTAAGCACCTCACATGCCACTTTAGTCCCAGCTCTGCTTCTGATCCTGCTTCCTGCTTCCATGCATGCTGGGCTGGGAGCGACAGCAGCTGAGTTCCTGTCCTCTATGGCTGCGACAAAGACTGGGTTCTGGGCCCCTGGTTTTGGTATGACACGCATCTGGGGAGTGAGATGGGAGATCTGTCTTGCTGTCTTTCCAGTGAAGTGAAAAAACAAAAGCCTCCCTATGTACCCAGAACCACTTGTAAAAAGCTAATGAGGATGTCCTCCATTCACACAGCAATGTGATGAATTCGAAGGGTCTTTATTCTAATGATAAGATGAGGGTTAACAGTAGGGGCAGAAGATGGAGAGACTTAGAGCACTTGAACAGGAGGCAGATCCTGAACAACTTTCTCTTCTAGGACTTTCTCTTCGAGGATCCAGTAGGAGCCCCAAGAACCTGGGGGATTAATGGAAATATTGGGGCGGGGGATCTATGCCAAATACAGCCTTCCCTCCCTGCATTCTGCTCAAGGCCACTCTGAAGTTTCTTTCTCTGTAGTCGCTGAATTCCAACAGAATTTCTTGGCTGAGAGAGGAAACAGAGACATCCTGGAGGACAGAGGCAAAGGGTGAAAGCCCACGGAAGAGGAGCAAGTCAGAGTCCATGCAGTGTGGGGCCACCCAGGAAAAGCCAGTAAAGATGTGGGATCCTCAAGATCCCAATGCTAGGAAGCCAGACACCTTCTCTGACTTGTTCACTGAAATTCTGAATGCTCAGTACCAGCAGTGCCTCATACCAGGATCCCAGTGCATATCTACCGATTAAAAGAAGAGGTGAGGGGGCTAAAGGGAAGCTGCTTCTGACATCTGAGGGAGGGAGAAGGGGCAATGTTCAGCCGCACAGCTGAGATGCCTGGGTGCCACATTCGAGTGCCTGGATTTTATTCAGGGCTCCAGCTCCTGACTCCAGCTTCCTGCTAATGCAGACCCTGGAATGCAGTGATGATGGCTACCACCATTTGGTCTCCACACTGCAGACATGGACTGAGCTCTGACCACCTTGGGTTTCTGGGGAGTAAACCCATGGATGGAAGCATACACAAAACAATACACACACACACAACCAGAACTACGAGACAGCAGATGATCACTTCTGCAAGAAATGTGGGGTTCATTTCACAAGATTAAGAGGAGCCCTCTCCTAGAAACTCACTTGGCTATCCCTGCTCGCCCCCAAGTCATCTTTCCTGTTCTCTTCCCACCTCTGACTAGTCAGCATCAGTTACTGCCTCTTCTGGATTTCCAACCTCTCTATGTGGATCTATAGCATAGAACCATGTTCAAAACATTTTGTTTAGAAACTAAAAGCACAAATAAAAGGAAAGCTGAACAAACAACCCTCTCTAATTCAAAACCCACTTCCTGAGATTACTTTCCTTTCTTTCACACTAAGCCAATTTTTATGAGTGAATAACCTATACTCAGGGTCTCTATCTCCTTGTGTCCCATGGATCCCCCACTCAGTGACAAATTAACATTTGGCCTGCCTGCTGCTAATACAGTAGGGTAACTAAGTGGCCTCCTGGTTTCTCTATCCCCAGGCTCTCCCATCATTTTGTTGTCTCTGGCAACATCTGATGGTCTCTGCTAATCCTGATTTCTGGAATACTCCTTCTTAGATGTCTCCAATCCTTCTCTGATAGTGTAGCCTGGGATCTTGTCTCACTTGCTGCCCCCCCACCTCCCATTCCCTAGGGAAACCTCATTTCCTAACTCCTTAGGACTCAAAGTTATGGGAGAAGAACAATTTATTGTCTTCCTTCCATACAGCCTGGAAGCTTCTAAGGCATGAAGTATTTCTCTCTTGACCAACAGTGTAGCCCCAGCTCCTACTACATGCAGCAGTAGCCACCATAGGCAGGACTGGCTACACACTTCAAAGGTTCAGCACAAAATACAAACGTGCAGGAGCCCTTGCTCAAAAACTGCAAGCATCATCATGCCAGCCATAGAGCATTGCGTTCAACAAGGGCCCTTCTGAGAACAGAGCCCTGTCAGACTGCAGAGTGTGCACACTCTTGAAGAGGACCTTGACTGCATGCCCTGATGTTTATGAACAATGATATGGCTTCTGCAAGGGCACATATGGACTTTTCCAGATAACCTTTCCAGCCAATTCATCTCGACACTTAAGTACTCACTGGGCTCATCCATCAAATGCTAGGTCTGGTTCCAAGCTGATGATCGTGTCCCCAAGTCTGCATGTCTCCTGACATTCCCTCTCAGGCAAAGGGGACTCTCCCCCCTACTTCCCAGCCTCAAAGTCAGAGACACCCGACACTTGTCATTTTTCTCATCCACCACATCTAGGCAGGTGCTGAGTATTATAGCTTTGGCCACCTCAGAACTACACAGATCTCTTTTCTATTTTCTTTCTGGGAAAAAAAGGATTTATTTATTTGGAAGGCAAAGTGACAGAGATGGAAAGACAGAGCGCTTCCATCTGTTATTTCACTCTCCAAATGGCCGCAACAGTTGTGCGATGGGCCAGGTTGAAGTTAGAGTTCTATTCAGGTATCCCACATGGGTGGCAGGATTGCAGGTGGAACAGCTAGGACACAGACCATGGTTTTAACCTGGGATGTCTGTGTGCCAATTGTACTTGAACCTGGGCATCACAATGTGGGTCCCTTTTCTTTCATTGTTGCCATGAAGGCCTCAGTTCTGGCTGCCATCAAAGGTTGCCTGTGTGATTCATGGGCTGCAAACATTTCTTTCTGTCCCCAGGTCTCACTCCCTTTGATCCATGCCCAAGGTGGTTATTTAATCTATTTATTTTTAATGGAAGTATCTGCACATATTTAGGG